ATATATATACATATATAGATCAGCTGTTAATTGGTGCAATTAATAGGAGTCAGATATAAATCTACCTCTACTTGCTTGCCTCGGTGCAAGAAACCAAAGGAATAAATTTAAAAATAAAGAAATAAGTTTTGCTTATCTGGAGACCCTGTAGTTGCAGATGCACCGGCCCAATGAGCACGCCCAGTAGAAGACTCCGCCAAGATCTACGAGTAGCTTGTACCCCGATGACACAATATAGATCCTTGTAGCAGTGATGTAAGACCAGCTGAGAGGCTGCCTCAAAGGTTGAATGTCAAGGGATGGAAGGTTGTCTCTCTACTGATAATAAGGGATGTCAGCCCGTGGTAAAAAGCCCTATAAAATACGATACACCAGAAGGTAAATGAGGATTAATGGAAAAAAATAAAATAATTACTTACAGAGATGGAGAGTGGCTTATTTAGTATCCCAGTAATCATATAGGGGAAATTAGATATTACGGCCTGATTTTGCAATCGCCAAGGCGCACTAAGATTCAGCCAATGCTGCAATTGTATTCCACCAGAAGGTTCCAACATACGTACTATCCAAAATGCATCAAAGGAACACAATTTTCACCCAACTTCCTGACACAAAATTCCCTATTTGGGTAACACAAGCGTTAAGAAATAGCATAAAATTTTCCACACTCGCACCTTAGCGATAGCCCGTACGAAAACGAAAAAACCTATCTCCCCATTCCAAAAACTATCGTTACCTTTTTTGCGAGTCTCATATATTAAACGGCTTAGATTTGTAGCCAGAAAAGAAAGGTAATGAATGTTGCCTATGGCTTAGGTCCATAAACATTATTAAACAGAATATATACCAGCCGTCCTTAAGTTTTAATTAAAATAATCAATAAATTTAATTGAACGTTACAATGGGTCAAAACTGATTTTATTCTATATTTTGTCCAAACATATAATTTTCATAGTATTTTGAGGCACTGAACACAATGCTATCAGTAAAATTTACCCGTGACCTCGATATTTCATAGAAAACCCACTATTTGGCTGAAAACTAGCCCAAATATGAATCAAAACTGATTTTTCCAAAATTGTGTCTAAATATATAATTTTGCTTGTATTTTGAGGTTCTGGACACTTTTATTCAATATAACTAATCGTGTGATGGTGGACTTAATCTAAAATTTATTCATTTTATTTCGGTCAGGTCAATTTATTGCCTGATAAAAATTGTATGAATTGTTCGTTAATTTTCACAATATTTCTGTTGTTACTTTCGTCATGTGTACTACAATATTCCAGCAATATAATCCCGATTTAAATAGCTAAAACCTCAACATCGGACTACTTTAGATTGAAAAGTTAGTAGTTGTAATAATGAAAGGGTAGATTCCTAGGATGAATATAAACCACTTTTGATTAGGTTCTTTGACTTCAAAAAAATTGTACATGGATTCTTAGGATAGCCCAATAAGAAAGAAGTTACTTTTTATTTAAAATGTAGGGTCGCTAGGAACATTTTAAATAGTCTTGTTGTGAGCATATTTGATATTCATCTGCAGATGGTGGAAGAAACCCCTCTCTCCATGAGAGCTGAGTTGATTTTGGGAAAGGACGTTTTGTCAAACGCCCCTTCTATGTCAATGAATACCCCCAGGGTGGACTCCTTATTGTCCAAAGATTTCTCGATCCTGCCCACCATCTGATGGAGAGCAGTATCGGTAGATCGCCCCGGAGTGTATGCATGTTGATTAGGGTGTGGCTGTCTGTCCATAAGCGCACTGTCCCTTATGTATCGTTCACACAGCTTTTCCATCGTTTTCAACAGAAACGAGGTCAGGCTAATGGGTCAATACGCCTTTGGGGAGGTATAATCCAGCCTACCTGTTTTGGGAATGAATACAACCCTTACCTCCCTCCAGATCTTTGGAATGTAAAGGTGTGCAAAGCACAGCCTAAACATCCGCTCTAGGTGCGGCATTAAAACATCCAAGCCCCATTGTAAAAGGGCTGGATATATACCGTCAGTGCCTGGTGATTTGAAGGGTGAGAAGGTTAGCATTGGCCATCTAATTTTGTCCTCAGTTACAGTTTGGTTGGCAATCTGCCAATCCATGACTGCAGGTGGGTTTTCAATTTCGTCTGGCCAATCAGCTTTCATTTAGATTGGCGGTTCTCACGCCATCCTCTCTGGTTAATAGATCTATATCATGATCTTTCTCTTTTGCAAGGATCTTATATAGCATAGCAGCCTGCGAGTAGTCTTCAATCTTCTCGCAGTAGGCTCTCCATGTATCCCTTTGTCTCTTCCTGACCAGTTTTTTGAAAAGTCTTAGGTGGGTTTTGTATATTTGCCAGTCTGAGTCTTGTCTTGTCATTTTTGCCTTGTTGAACGATCCTGGCCTTCTTCCTCAGTTCGCTCAGCTCCCGATTCCACCAACCCGTGGTTGCGCCGGTTTGCCGAGCTGATCTGAGGGGGCAAGATGTTATAAAGGCTCTTTCTATGGCAGATTGTACAGTGTTCACGAGCACCTCAATCTCTCCATTGTTTCTGGGCTCCTGATCTTGTACCGCTGCCAGGTTGTCCCGGAGGTGACAAAGATATTTATCCTTGTCAGTTCCTCGGGGATTCCGGAACGATTTTTGAGGAGTTTTGATAAGATTAATATTAAAGTTTATCCAGCGGTGATCTGACATTGAGGCAATGTCTGCCACATGCCAGTTCTGGATTACATTATATATGCGCGCCGTAGTCAACGTGACATCTATTAATGTTTGACTTCTTGAGTTAACAAATGTCGGCCTCTATTACTTATACAAAGGTTGTTAACGTTAATATAGTCATATAAAGACTTACACCAGGGTACATGGTGTGAATTTGTATCACAGGCCATGATAAGTTCCCATTTCTGGGTGCCACCAGTTCCTCCATCTCCCTCGTTGGTGGTGGGGTGGCCGAATTCTCAGGGAGGTAAACTGATGCGATGACAACAGCAGTTTGTTTGCCCTTGACTACATATTCCACTTTCACGGCAGTCAGATCAGATGTTGAAAGATGTTGTAGTGATTGGGTTTTGATATGGCGAGGGGTGTATATAGCCGTCCTCGGCTTGTCTGTGTTGGTTGTGCTGAAAATACGCCCAGTTAGTTTATTTAAACCTGATATCCTGGATTTGGCAACCCAGGGTTCTTGTATTAGTGCCAGTGTTCCCTACTCCACATCAAGGCGGCGGCATAATGCAGCCGTTGCCGCCCTGCTGTGTTGCAGGTTACACTGTACCACACTTACCATTGTTAAACCAAACATTGTGAAGCAAAGATGGTGTTCATCGTCTTATCCTCCTAACCTCCTAAGAGGAGGGGTGGATTTCCTCGTCCCCCTGCGCCAGAGATGGAGGAGTTGAGGAGGTGGCTGCATTTGCATGCAATTCCACCTCTCTAACCTTCGTTTCCATCTGCTCCAGCGGCCCGGAGGTTGCCGTCGGCGCAGGTTTATGTATTTTGACCCTGAGAACAAGGGACTGGAAGATGTAGTGCATCTTCATCGACCTCGCCTCCAGGGTTTTCAAGTTCTCGTCTCCGATTCCGAAGACGAGTAAGTGGCCTCGTGGGTCATCCTTGGCCTGTTCACACTCACCGTGGGGTTCTGACCCGCCAGGCGACGCATCACCACCTCCTTTTTCCCATGGTCGCATCTAGCTTCCACGGGAATCCAGAGGGTGGCTTCCGTCAGCCTCGGCAACTGGTCAGAGCGCACCACGGCGAGGGCACTGCCCTCCTACGGGCTCAGGCTTCCCACTGCGTCCGTCAACCACGTCCGTGTGTACTCGTCTTCTCAAACAACCCTAATGATCTCACTAGAGTATGTCCATGAGCGAAACACAGGTGGTCTGATAGTAGCATTGGGAGTTAGAAGGATTTTGTCCAGCTCCACCAGCAGTGATTTTTTGATAATGGACTCGCTATCCTTAGCAATTTTCCCATAGGGGTAAGATGACCTAGGGCTGCATCGCTATATGTGGAAGTGGTGAGGGTGGCCTGTTTTGCCCTCTTGTGCCTCATCGGAGTGGTGTCCGATGAGGTCCCCGACCTATTCCTCTTTTTGTAGGGTGGCACTCCGTGAGGGTGCTCTCCCTTCCTAGCTGGTGGGTTCGCCTGGGAAGGTGGCACACCTTTCGGGTGCTCAGCCTACCCTGTAGGCGGTCCACTTTTGCCTGGGTGGCGTTCGTCCCGCATAGACGGTGGCAAGCCCTTAGATCCGCCAACCGCCCGTGTAGGACCACGCACCCCAGACGTTGTAGGCTGCGCCAGAAGGGTGGGTGCATGTTCAGAGGAGGAAGCTGCAATTGAAGCTCTAGCCGCCTCTTCTCGCGATCTCCTCCTCCTCTTAAACTCAGCCCCACAGTATAATACGTTTGCCCCTTTTTTTCTTTCTGGGCTATTTGTTGTCTCCCATTTGAAGGATAGTTTGGGACGATGGTTCCGGCTGTGGCGAGCGTTGCCGCTCTGCCTCAGGTTCGGGTTGCCGCTCTGCCGCGGGGGGTTTGGCATTATTATTGTCCATATAGGATTGGGGTAATATTCGTCCACCTGGCTTCCCACCCACCACAGAGCCCAACTAGGGGATGCTGCAAGCAGTCATCAGAGCTACCAAGTGGATATAGCTCGCAGAAGCAGAACGGCGTCGTGAGAGGGTTGTGCATCCCTGAACGCCGGTGCCAACCGACGCTCAGTTTTGCAGCCCTCTATGCGCCTCCCTGCCCCAAGAGCTCACCCTGCCGGCCCTCTGACGGGACAGCACAGCCGATTGACCTGGAGTGGGTTAGTTCCCGGCCGCCCGTTTAGTCGAATTCCGGACCGAAGTGGCAAGCCTGCTCAATCACCAAGTACCCTTCCTCCGACGACACGGGTCGCCACGCACGGCACAAACACGTAGGAGCTAGTCCGCGGGGTGCCTTCGCTTGGGTCCAAGCCAGGGGGTTAGCCCCAGTGGACCTGCTTATGACGACCCTCGCCATAGAACCGAGGTCCTATGGCTTCCCCTACCCGCCACCCGGGGACGCGCCTGGTAGGTAGCTCAACCCTCAGAAAGCCTGGTACCAAAAAGCAGTCGCAAAATTAAGTCAGTTTTTCTATCCACCGTTTCAGTTTTAATTTCTGATGATTTATAGTGACAGCAATTTTAAATTATAGCTCATGGGCCTGTTTTATTTCTTCCTGTTTGTGCAAGCAGCTTAAACTCAATTAGTATCGTGATAATGTCTTATCCAATTTTGCAATATAAATGTAACATTTCAGTAAAATATTTAAACAATGTGTTTTATACCAAAATTTCTTTCTTTGTATTACAGAATATAACTGATAGTTTTATATTTTCGAAGATTAATAGTATATCTTGAAACATTCCAAAGGATGTAAAACAATATACTTAATGAAATATGTGAAGCACACGCTCTCATTGGTGCACTGGTGCAGAACTTTTTTGGAACATCCTGATTCCAGAAAAATTCAAAGATTTCCTTCCCCTACAAAATTCAAAATTCGGTTGGTTAGTGTCTGGAATTGTCCAGCAAGACAATCCAAAAATTTAATGCAATTTCTCACAAAATCATTTTAAGAACATGATTTATTGTCAAAATTCCAATGCACTCTTCTGAGTCTATTTTAGGTGATTCGATGACATTCGTAATTTAACGTTTACAAGACACGTTGCAAATAAATATTCGTCTCAAATGTCAGTGTCAAGATTTTATTTGTGAATACATCAAGCATATACCTTATAATCTATATAAACTATGGACTGGCCCTACAAAGAGAGGTTAATCGCGCTGATGTGTGCAAGGCAGATGAAGCTAGTGTAGGCAAATACCGGTAAAACAAATAACGGTACACCGGTATACCGGTACAAAAAACCGTAAACAAACCTTAGACTAAATGTCATGTAAAAGATTTCTTAAATTTTTGTGTGTGATTTAGTGTATGTAAAATACAGTACAGCTTCGATAATCCGGACACATATGGTTCTAGCAACTGCCGGATTAGCGAGGTATCCGGATTACTGGAATTATTTTCAGGGTAGTGTATCTGTATATACATATATATTTTTGTGTTAAAGCAACTAGAAATAGCATTCAATAAGAACTAAAAAGAGTTTTACTTAAATAAATTGTTTACTCAAACAACAATTGTAAAAAGACGTGGTTAATTTAATTTTTTGCTTTAATTCATTACTTTTTAAAAAAAATCTACCCTCGTCTAATCCAGACGAGTGTAATCACACTATTATTAAGTATTTCCGTGGCAGATAATTTTAGTTTTTTTAAAAGTAGCACATCTTACATTGGAAGACCGTTCTCTTCCGACTACTGAATAGATGTTGCAAATGACGATCATTATGATGATTTAGATACAATAACTTCGTCTTCTAGATCACTCAATTCTCTATTCTCTTGATACTTATTTCCTAGAGCTTCATTAATCAATTCTTGTTGCACTTTGCCTTTAATTTTTGTTTTCGTTAAAAATTGTGTTTAAGAAAGTTGTTCGAGAACTCGAGAAATGCTTAAATACGGGGTTCAGTCAAAAAAGAAGAATAATCACATTTTGCAAATAAGAAGACGCGATTTTTAACTATCTTACTTAAAGCAGACAGAAATCGTAAAAAATAAGTAAACTTTATTTTAAATTTAATACAATATAAAAATGCTTGGTAGAACAATTTCCAGGTTGGTAGCACGTCGTCGATTTAGGTTTCTTGACGTTTCGAGAGACAATCGCTCTCTGCCTCAGAAGTAACCAGTTTTCGAGTTTTTGAAAAGAGCGATGTCTCTCGAAATGTCAAGAAACTTAAACTGAAGACGTGGCAACTGGCCCGGAAACTGTTCTACCAGTAACAACTGCCACGGTAGCCTGCAAACCAAATAAAAGAAAAATAATCTTTTCTAATAATTAAAAAATAGAAATAACAAATTAGCATTGGAATTAACAACAACAACGAAGCAAGTCCTATTCAACTTGTAAACCTCCAAGTAATACAAATTTCTCTAATCATTTTCTAAATTCCTTGTACATAGACGAGATCATTTCTTCGTTTATGGTGCAACAGCTTCGTGATTTTTTTGCTTAAGTAAATCAATGTGATCCTCAAAATCGTTTGAATTCACTTTTTGCTTTAGGTATCCCCATAAGAAATAATCTAATGGGGACAAGTCGGATGCCCACTAGAAGTTTATAAGGTGCAGGGCATCTGAAATATTAGTTTTCTTCTGAACTCTAAATTTTCGATATCTAGTTCTGCCAAAACAAAATTAATGAGAATTTCCAAATACGAATTTTGATTATTTTCCAAAAAGTAAGCCAAATATTTTAAAATACAGAGAGATCGAGAATGATTGACCGGATTCTGAACGTACCCTGTCTCAATTGCTATCAAAACTGATTTCCGTTTGCTAAAATTACTTTTTTTTCCGTGCAATTTCATGGTGTTCTGTGGCGATTTCACAATTTGACGTTCTGTTCATTGGCGCACGGATTTTTTGGCTTGAATATTATTTTGTAGATTTTGTTGTTACCTGATATATTTTGCGACATTATAAAACAGTATTTTTCAATACTACAGTTAGAGTAGGTGGATATTATACGTGAGTAATTAATTTATTGCGTATGTTGTTCTCTAACCTAATCGGTTTTTTAATTTAGGTTAACATGGCATTTTCATTAGAACATGATAAATTTCTTCTGGAGGCCTATTTTCGTAGTGGACAAAACAATGGTAATGGTTGGAAATATTCGATGAATTCGTGTCATTTACAATTTCAAGAACAATTTCCAAATGATGAAATTGATTATGAAATTTTTTCGAGACACGTGAAGAGATTAGTGGAACGCTTCCATAACACTGGAAGTGTTTGTAGAGGAAAATCTCCAGGCAGAAAGTCTATTCTTACAGAGGAAGTCTTGGAAGATGTTGAAAACCGCTTACGAGCTAGTCCAACCAAATCACTACGTCGGTTATCTGCTCAAACAGGTACTTAATAACAAATATTTATTCTAAAATTTGTATCATTATTCCTAAATTGTTTATAGGAATATCATATGGATCATGCCATAAAGCAGTAAAGAAGTTGCATTTTCATCCTTATAAAGTTAGTGTTGTGCAGGAACTACTTCCGTTAGATTTTGGAAAACGTGTGCAATACTGTAATTGGTTTAACGAAAATCTGAATGACGACGATATTCTAGATCTAACATTTTTTTCTGATGAAGCGTGGTTTCATTTAAGTGGGTACGTAA